TTTGTTTCACTTTGGAAAGACTGAAATAATCCATGCATCATGCTCAGATGTGCCTTTTTATTTTGTTTTCTACTTTACAGAAATAAGCGAAATGGTGTCTAAAATGCTAAAAACAAAAAAAATAAAGTTGCCTATGTAATGTTTAGAACAAAGCTATACACTATGAAATTGTACATGTTTGTGGATACTGTGTATATATAACATGTATACACTAACTAAATAATTTGTATAAAGTGACAAGTTTTTTTTTTTCCCCTCCCCCTCCCCTTCTTGTTGTATTGTACCCTCATCCGCATCTGTTCAGTCAAATATTGCCTAATAATCCAATGCTGCTACAGTCGGATAAAAAAAAACAAAAAAAAAACCCTTAAAAAACAAAAGAAAAAAACAGGTCACTGTCACTAACTTACTTACAGACAATCTCCAGTTGGAACACTGGGAGTATTAACTGAGGAAAGCCATTTTTTTCTTCTTCCCTGCCCCCTCTTTAGGTGTTTTAAAGCAATGAGAGAGAAAAAAAAAACACACAGTTCAATATGCCAAGCACTTACTTAGACGTGTGCTTCACTTTGTACATCCTACTAATTGCCTTTTTCTCCTTTTCAAAGACTTTTTAAACGCTTACTCATTAAAAACAGAGGTTGTGTTTGCAGCTGAATATGTACAGACATATATTCACTTGCAAAGTATTGGAGTGAAGAATTGGACTTTTTTTTTTTTTTCTCTTTATTTTTATTTTTTAATTTTTTTTTTCCTGAGAAACACACTTTGTGCACTTTAGGCTGTACTGTTGAAGAGCCACAGTTGTTATAGGTCATGTTTGTAAATGCAGTGGTCCTATGCAACTGTTAAACTCACTTTTCTTACGTGGATCAGGGCAGAAAAACACGAGTCTACCGCCTCACTTTTACCCCCCACCGCCTTTCCCCCTCCTGTTTTTGCCGGGTTTGTGAAAACGCCTGAGGATGTTTCGAGTTTTTAAAAAAGCTCACTCGTGCCCTTCCGTCTCCTCGCTCTGAAAACGCAGAGCCTTCCTCCTCCTCCTCCTCCTCGTCCTCGTCTTCTGCTCAGACGGCGGCGGATGACTTTGATCAAACTAGTGATAAAAGGAGAGTTTCGGAAGCTCTCGTTCTGTCCATTCTCCTAAATTTCCCAAATGTCAGTATTGGTGGGGTTAATTTTGCCAAGATTTTCTGTTTAGTTTTTTTTTGTTTTGTTTTTTTTTTTATGTTTGATATTTTTTATTAAAAAAAAAAAAGAAAAACCCCGACAGAATAACAGATTGGTTTTCCTCTCGGTGGCACTGTAACAGCTTGATCCAGCAGTCGGTTTATTTGATGGTATGTGGCCTTTTAACAGCTTTGTATTAATGGTCTTGATGAGATTAATAAATCACCCAGTCTTATTTTGTACTGAACTACTTATTTCTCCTCTTTATTTCTCTGACTGTGAATCCAGCTTGTTATGTACAGTGAGTTGAGAACATTGAAGGAAGAGTTTTATTCGCTTTTCTGCCAGAGCTGGCAACAAGGGTCCAGTGTGTTTGCCTCATGTTGCCTTTTCAAACCTGTAGGAGGCGCTAGAGTGGCTGCTGAAAACAGAAAATACAATCTCTGGAGCCAGTGTTCAGTTTTTCCATTCGTCTATGGATGAATCCTGTGACGTCACTCGTGGATTTCCTGAAAAGCTCAGTGTTTATCCATCCTTCTAGCTCCTGGTTAATCCAAAAATAAGCTAAAAGTGGACCTATGTGCATCTGTTAAAGCAGCCGCTGCCTTAATTCTGCATAACTTTAAGCTTTAATTCAATTTCAACTGTTGAATTCTGCTAAAAAAATTAGCTACAGGAACCAAAATCATCTCTGTATGAGGCTGTAAACATCTTCTGCTGTCAAGTTTTTTACAAGTTTTAACCTCCACTGGAAGTTTCCCCTTTCATTGCTTATCAACATTAGATCATGTTGAATTTAATTAGACTTTTTTTGACAAGAATAGACAAAAAAAGGCTCTTTCATGTCAAAGTGAAAACGGATAAAACGGATCATCAGAGTGCAGTGAATGTGTCTCAAGTGTTTCCAGTGTAATGACGACCGTATCTGTAAGGTCCAGTCACTGGTGAATCAGTACTGATGGATTTAACGTCACCATGAAGACTAAAGAACAGTTCAGGCGAATCTGTGAAACGGTTGTTGACAAGCATCAGTCAGGGATCGATAAGTCGGTGAATATCAGTTGGAGTCCAGTTAAATTCATCAAGAAAAAGAAGGACGATGCTTTGAGCAAACCGTCCTCCAGAACGGAGGGATGGTGAATATATGAAACTAGGGAGGGAGGCTATGGGGGTGTTAGTGTAGCAGGACTATTAGTGAATGTGTTTGGAGAGTTGTGTGTCTTCATCTGTGTGTCTGTGGTGAGATTTGTAAAAGATCCATCGATGTGTAAATGCATACAAAGGTATGAATAGATGAAAAGTCAAAGTGTTTGACTACAAGTGCTGGAAATAGACAAATCATCAGTTACAAGTCAAGCAGGCCTCACAGCTGTCTGTCTTTTTACACATGACTTCTGCTGCACCTCTGGTCCTATCTGTAACTTGAGGGTTTCTGTGCCCTGAGCTCAGCCTCACAGGCTCATTCATTCTGGCTGCTTACCGCTCTGCTGCTCTGTACCTCAGTAGTTATGCCTCCTGCAAGCCATCAGGCGGCGCTATCCTCCAGAGTCTATGGTATATGTGAACAAGTTAAATTTGCTGAGTTTGTGGGTCGTTGATCATTGTATTTCCAGCACTTGTAGCCAAATACTTAGACTTTTCATCTATTAATTAAATCTCACTACAGACACACAGCTCTCATGCACATTTACTAATAGTTCTGCTCCAATAACGCCTCCATAAGAGGCCACCAAGGCACCTACGACGTCTCCTTCAGGAGACTCGTAGGTGCCTTGGTGGCCTCCCTCCTCGTCTCTTTTCCTCATTACGACAACTATGACTCATCTGAAGGATTTAAAAGCTGAGATTCTTACAACAGCTGTTGATTGAAAAAAAGAAACTAAAACTAAAATAAGCAGAACGAGGAGAAAACTTCCAGTGGGGGAGGATTCTACAGGCGCTGTATGTGCTGCTGGAAACTGAATTTCAGTCACATAATTTGAATTGTTGAACTTGAATAACTGCATTTAAATAATAATTTGATGCACATGATTTGTAATTGAATCCTTTGACTGAAATTTAATTCCGTTCCATATTCAAATATGAACCAGCTTCACTTTTTTGTTTTTTGAATGTTCTGGAATATTTAAGTTTTTCAAAGCGAGATCAAGATGGAAATCCTGATGAAAAATCTGATTGATGCTGTTTTTCTTAATCGATATCACAAATTGAAACAATGCAATTTGCATATTGTAATGGCTGCAATTCAGGATATGCATCATACATAACTCTGCATCACATGGTTTCAATCTATTACACAGCCAATATTGAACTAGAGGAGGACAGACAGACCATAATACCCTCAAATCATTCAGCCTTGGTTTAACTTGCACTGAAGCATCATTTTGCATTTAGAGGTGGTAATTTAAAAAAAAAAGTCAAAGGAAGACATGTGCAGTGCTCCTACAAGGTTTAGCTTCAACATAAACTCAAAAACAATCCCTGTGTTCAGGCTTTTGATTCATCATCGGTCACTCGTGCTCCTCTGCTGTCTGCTGCGGCCGTTTGTTTGTCCGTCACAGAACTAGTTTGGATGAAACGTCACAGTTTAGTTTTTTTATCGTCAGTCCTGTCGTCTCTGGGAGGTCAAACTGTGCTGCAGGGTCCCTCGCTGTCCTCGCTGTCGTCCCACAGTCCTCCACCGCTCATGGCTGCCGGGTGGTTCACTCGCTGCTGGACGAGTGCTGAAGGTCTGAAGACGAGCAGCAGAAGGTAGAAGGAATCTTATTGGTCGTTTATACTGATAATCTTCACGTAGCATGTTGGACACAGTCATCTATGATTTGCCTGAACCTTTTGTAGCAGATAATTTCAGCTTGATAGTTTCCGAGGTAATTCTTTTCTTTCTTTTTCGTTTCAGCAGGTTTTTTCACAAGAAAGAAATTTGAGGATGTTTCAACGACAATATCTCAGAAACTGTTAAAGTTAAAAATACAAAGTTTTCACTGTTATTTCTCATCATGACATTGATTTACAATCTGTATTATTGGCCAAATGGATCCAGTAGTTTCTGATTAAGGGTGAGTTGAAATATGAAAACAATTGCAGCTCTCGTGAAAAATTCCATCTTTGAGCACAAATTAAAGAAATCAATAATGAAGACGTCGACTAGTGATATTTTCTGAATCATATGTATTTGCTTGTCACAATAACACAAAACTAAATGTACAGAATATTGTTAAATATAAAATACTTGATCACAATTAATGAAAGTTGTGAAACAAAAACAAAAATGAAAGAATTCTGGAGTATTAAAAAGCTTTTTTTTAAAAATTTTTATTAAGGGCTTTTTCTTATTTGTTTTTCCTTCATATTTCTTCATATTTTTCTCCAACACTCCAGATTCTGAATCAACAACATGATGAGAAATAACAGTGAAAATTTCAGTCTTTTTTCTTTAATAGTTTCTGAGATTTTGTTGTTCAAACAAAGTCTCAAATTTCAATGCGTGAAAAAATATACAAGTAAAACATCCTTTGAAGTATTTAATGTATCAATCAAAAAACATACAGATACCTTTTTATTTATCCATAGTTTGTGATAATAAACAGGATTAAGCAGAGGGCCTCTGTTGATCTGAGATGAGACAATCCTCGTGTAAATTTCACATGTTCAACGTGACAAAGGCTCACCTCAGGTTTTCTCTGCTCGGGTTGAAACTCTGGAAGTTTGGTCTGGCTGGAGCTTGAATCGGTATGAAGCCTTGTCTGTTGTCCTTCTCTGGAGCCGAGTCAGCCTGAAACATCAAGCGATGGGGACACAAAGAGCAGGAGGATGGTGTTCATCACTGGACAATAATGACATTTATGTGGTGTCAAACAGCAAAATTGAATTGTGATATTTTACAAATATTTGCTGTAATTTTCAAGTTTTGAAAGCTACAATTTTCCACCATTTTTGTAGTTTTTCTGTGTAGTTTCAGACACTCTTGCTGCCAGATTTTTACAGGGTTTTTTTACGGATTTTATTAACAGTGCAGCGTTGGTGTGGATAACAGCCTGAGTACCTGCTTGGACGGATCGTCCCAGATGGGTCTGAAGGCACTTTTGGGATGCAGAGGAGGAGAACCCTTCCTCACGCTGACCAGCCTCTTCCCGTAGGAGCCGACCAGGCAGGGCGTGGGTCCGTCCACATAGGGCCCGCTGGGGTTCCTCAGAGGAGGGTGGGGGGTCAGCCTGGGGATCTGCCACCTCAGACACACTGTCCTCTCTCTGGGGGTCTCCGTGGACGGCGGCTGCTGCTGCTGCTGCTGCTGCTGCTGCTGCTGCTGGTGGCTGTATGAGGGCTTCAGCAGCACCGGGACCTGGCTGTCCTCCTCGTCCTCCCCGCTGATGCTCTCCACCGTGTCCCTGCGCAGGGTCCCGTCCGGGCTGCAGGAGGTGACGGAGGAGTAGTCGAAGGCCGAGGTGTCGTCGGGGTCCGTCTCACCGTCCTCCAGGCTGTGGTTGGGGTGAGGAGCTTTGCCGGTGGGCTGGCTGAAGGTGCCCTGACCCGAGTCGCTGTTCTCCCCCCACGCCGCGGCGTCCGGGGTGAGGAGGGAGCAGTAGGCGTGTCCGCAGTCGTGGCCCGGCTGGTTCTGGACGGTGCGGTCCCTCCTCACCGGGCTGCAGGACCAGCACTCGACACGCATGGAGTGTCCGCCGTCCAGCCCGTTGGTGAGGCCCTGAGCTGGCTGGACGTCTCTGCTGGGAGACGAGAGGAAGAAACAGGAGGGAAATGTAGGAAGTAAAACTGTGTGATGCTCAGGTTGTGTCTACACTGTAAAAAAAATAATAAAAAATAGAGTAATGTCATGTAATTTGTGTGTTCTAATGTACGTAGTTCCACCTATAAGTTTACTTTGTAATATGTTTGTGTATCATTTAATTTCTTAAGAGGTACAAGTCTTGGGGATTGACAGCAGATTGTGTACGTTTTTGTCATCTGCTGAGTTGACATAAACAGAGATCGCCTCCAGTAAGATCCATCCAGCCTCAGCTGATATCACACATGGCAGTAGAGAATCCACTGGCTACATAAACGATGTCAACAATATCAATCTTTTCTCTTTTTTTTTTACAAATAATAATTTTTTTCTTTTACAGAGTTTCTTCTGTTTTTAAATCAGCAAAAATATCATTACTTTACAAATATTTACTGTTATTTAAAAGAAAAAAAAATTCTATTAAGGAATAGAAAATGGCACCTTGTGTTAAACAGTGTTTCCCAATTTTGTTAAAATTACATATCGAAGTAGTAAAATTACAGAAAAACATAATCAGTTTATATGTTAACCCCAAACTGTAAAAAATGTCCACATTAAAAATTAGTATTTTGACAAATAGTATTTTGTTTTGGTTATTAGACTGTAAAACTACACTTTTATTTCTGTATTTAAATGAGAAAAAATACCTTTGCTATTGTTTGAAAGAAAAATGAAGTGTGTTATGAAAAGGATCTGCCCTGTTTTATGTTACAGATAATATCCAGTAAAATCTCACCAAAGAGACTCCTGAACGGTGCCGTATTCGACCATTTTTAAAGTGTTTTGCGACACTCACCTCTGACCTGCAGCGTTCGACTCCTCTCTGGTCTGTTGGCTTCTTGTGCAGCAGTTTGCAGACGACGTACCGGCTGCAGCGTCGACGCAACCGCTGCAAACATTATACATTAACTTTACCTCTAAACTTGAATAAATCTGATATCATCTATCTTATCCATCTCCTAAATCTCTTACCTTTGTCCTTCTCCTTCCTCCCATCGGACTTCTTCCTCCAGGATCACGTGACATCGAGACAAGATGCTCCTCAGCGCTCGCTCGGTTCCCAACAGGAGGCTGCAGTCCGGATGCTCCTTACCGGTCCACTGCAGCAGGTTCTAGAGAAGAAATTCAATCTGTAAATAACCTGCATTTGATGTTTAATATATCTAAAATGAGTCTAAATCCACTAGAATGCACTGAAAGCGTCACTCGACCTCTAAAAGTCTCTGGACCGTCTGCTGACTCACCTGAATGTGACTCAGGTAGCTGTGAATTCGAGCGACCGGCGCCAACAGCAACGAAAGCAGTTTCATTTCCTCCTTCTCCATCTGGCCGCTCTGTTAAAACCAAGACAGAGATCATTCGTCGGTATACCTGGTCTATCTGGGGCACGATGACAGATTAAACGCTGCATCACCTGCGTTTTGTGGCTTTTCTCTGGTTGGTTCAGTCTGATGAACTCCAGCGAGAGGAACGATGCCAGCGTGGTGGTGTATCCGAGGTACATGTCTGAAAAAGCTGTCTGGACGACGCAAATCAGAACAAACGTTAGCAGCCTGCCCTTCATTGTTCAGCTTAGTGGACTGAAATCATAAAATCTTACGTCATTTTGTCCGATCAGCTGCACCAGGATGTCCCCGACCAGAGACTTCCAGTGTTCGGCCGACAGTCGTTCTTGCAGGGTGTTTCTGAACAGCAGGTGTCGCTGCAACAGCTGCTCCACAAACTTCACATAAGTCTGACTGGATCACAAAGAAAACGCAATCTGTTACCACAACTGTTCCTGTATTCTGAGCTGTTAGAACCTCTGATGTGTTTTTAAAAACTCACTACGGCTCCACGGTCATCTGGTGAGCCGGTGGCGTCTTGTATTTGTCGTACAGTTGGTTTAAAGTCGACACGTATTCCCATTCTGAGTGCAGAAGTTGCATCGCCACCTGGTGTCGTGCATCTGTAAAAACAAACATAAAAAGCTACACTGAAGGCCAAATTATGGTGCTTTAATGTGGCATTTGGTTCACTTTGATGGTGGCTGACATAAAAGTTTTAGGTTCTTCGCTATATTTCTCTTTTTGGTTCTCATCCAAGAAGAAAATTACTTCTTTACGAAGAAAAGAAGAATAGCTGGAACAACATGGATGTAGCTGATGTGGCTGAGAATCTTCCTTCAAACACAACATCCTGGTGCACTTCAGACCCAACAAAACTCTCAGATTAACTCCTCTTTTCCATAGTTTTGCTTTGTGTCTATAAATCGTACAATATTCGGACTGCGCCCCCTGGTGTTCACCGCAAGGAAATGCATTTCTTTATAGATGGACAGAAACCATCCAGTTTCGTAGAACATGTGCATTAGGAATTACTGACACTAAAACAGGACCAACAATACGTAGCAGGAAATAAGGAAGAAGTTTTCACGCCACAAGTGAAGCCAGCTAAGCAAAATATTGAGTTATAAGACGTATGAACCACTACACTGTGTATGCTGTCTGTACGCTAGCATGTGATAAACAACAAGCTTCTTTTCTAATTACACATTTACACAATCTGACTGTCAACATACTCAAACAACTGAATAGCCTGTTCATTCATTTTTTCCAACTTCCTGGCACACATGGTCCCTAATCTACTGCAAAAGTTCAACATTTTCAACGTACTCAAGTCAAATTCCAGAAATGACGAGAGTTCAGGTTGATTCATAAAGCAGAGCTATGCAGAGCGAAGGCATAAAGCTGGTTCACCCTGAGGATTAAACACAAGCTGAGCCATGTTTTATGTGCAGTCCAGTGCAGCGAGGAGTGCATGGACTTATACAGTGTATAGGTGAGACGAAACAATCGCTACACAAACACATGGAGCAAAAAAAAAAACAGTCTACCAGCATCTGAAAGATAAGGGACACTACTATGAGGACACATTGTTTAAGAGAGGAGTAAATGAAGCCGTCTCTATACAGGAAGTGGTCGCTTATCAGGTACTGATAATGCAGTCCTGAGATCCTTCCTCAGACAGTTTCAACACTATTTACACCTTGATGCATGTCAGTCTTGGGTCTTGGGTAAATGTAAATATCTCTTCATCAGTCAGTTAGATGTGAGGAAGCCTCTTGGATGAGATGTGATTAAAGGATAAAGAGAAGTCAGATTGCAAGTTAAACTGTTCTGCATGTTAATCGAAGGCTGCAGATGCAAAGTAAGTAAAACTGGATTTTCCAAACTCAGTAAAACAGCAGATAAAAGCCCACATTAAAAGACAGCAATGAGGTCATTTAAAGGGATAAAAACCAACAGTAGGAGCCTTATGAATACATCAAATCCAGTGTTTTTCATGCTCTACAGGTGAGTATGTGTCACCAGCAATAAATCCAAATGCAGAATTATAAACAGTGTCCGTGGACCTCAGAGTTAGTTTTTAAAGAATGAAAGGTGAATAAATCTGTTATAAACACGTGCAAAACCCCCCAAACTCTCTGTATACGAATGTGTGAGTTGTATATCTGACCTGTGCCTTCACTCAGACCAGCCTTCAGGCCCTGCAGGAAGCAGTGAAGGAGCAGTTTTCCTCTGGACAGACCGGCTGGTGGAGCAGACGAACAGTCGCAGCGACTCGGCTCTGCTGGATCGATGCTGCACGACAGATGGCAACAAGTCTGTCTGCAGGTTTCACATGTTTCTGTGCAACACGGCTAAGACACACTGTAGCTCTTCTACGATTGTCCTACCACCTGCTAGTCTGACACAGTTGTCTTGTTTTATCAGTAATTGTTGGAATTTTTACACTCAAACTTGTGATTCATTGTAAAATATCAGCTCCAACACTGTCGGCTCTAAGGGGGAGTTTATGAACCTGGAACAGGCAAAATTATCAGCAGCTAATATTAGTTCATACAGATTTCTACAAAAGTATGTTAACAGCAAACAATGTGCTTTGGCATTTAAATACACATTCAAAACAATGTGACAAAAGGAGAAACTCCCTTTTCCCTTCAGCTTTTATTGTAATGCTATTTATTTGCAAATAGAGTATCAAAATATCTGCTTTTTTTTAAAGATCTAATTTCTATGTTACCAGTACAGAGGCATTAAGACACTGTTGGATGCATATACTGCATATAATTGTAATTTTAAAATTTATAATTAAATGACAATACCAGCATTTAGTGTACAGAGTGTCATAATGTCACATTTGCAGGAAATCAAACAAATGCATGGTGCAAACCAGGAAAGAGAAGTGACACTTAGGACAAAATATTGTGAATAAAGTGCTCAAAATACAGAATGTCTCCTGCATTTAGTCATGAATGTGTCAAAAAGTGATATAAAAATCAAGTCAGATGTTTCTTTCTGTGGCTAATTATAAAGAAGAAAAAAATCTGCTGGATAAATATGAGATAAATCATAAAACCTACATCTGGCTGCAGTGAAGTTTCTGAGAAATATCATCTGTCCTGCATCTCTATGGAAACTAAACAACCATGAAGAAGGAGAGAGAACTCAGAAATGTCTTTAGTGAAGACAAAGTTAAAATGCCATAAAGCATTAAAAAAAAAGTTCATCTTTGATTACTGATTTTGTAAAAGTTGGAAAAAAAAAACTTGAATAAACACGTACAGCATTTTTCAAACCACCTCCAGATGCTACCAACACTAGTAAGAATGACTCTACATACTATAAATATTTTATTCATATCTACAGATTAGATGTTTGTAGATGTCAACTCTACCAAGATGTGCCACCATGCTGAATGTATCCTACAACAACTTGCTGACATGTTTGCTCCTCTGTGTACTGTTTTTTGAACCATGCTACCTTTTTATTATTGATCAAAAATGTTTAATTTTGCTCTCAGTTCTAATCTGGTTCCTTGCTTGTCTCCTCTGTGCTCTATGTGAACACTGCCTGCAGTTCAACCTCCTAGTTCCTGAGTTTTTGTCATGTGACTGGTAGTTGCAGGTGAATTCATTCACAGATTTGTTTGATTTTAACAGGACCGGGTGCAATTTTTGCACATTTTAAACAAGATTAATGTGGGGATATATCAGGATTTTCAGCTTAGATTTGGTTCATTTCCCCAGTGGAATCACACATCACATGCACTTAGTCCAAGGACTGTTGGATAGTTGGAAAAGTGGTGATTCTTTCTGTTTTTTCAGTTTCTGGCTCTGATAAATTGTGTCTTTTTGGTGATTTCTAAAACATGAAATGCGTTTCAAAGCCGCTGGTGGGTTTTACAGCTCTGTAGTTCATAAGTGTGTTTGTACCTTTGCTTAGATGTGGAGCTCTTTGCATCCTGCTGAGGTCTTGGTCTGTTGCTGTACAGCTGGACAACCTGACATCTCATCACACCCAGTTCCTCCTGCAGGTTCACAAAGCAACGTTTACTGAACATCCTCATCATTTTACTCTGACATATGAGCTGTAAGTCATTCTTTTATGTCACCTTCAGTGATTCGACCAGAGCCTCCAGCCGGAGAGCTTTCTTCTGACAGCTCCTCCGGTTCTCCTCCATCTCCTCCCTCAGGTACGTGTCTCCATGTTGGATCTGACTGAGCTCCAGCAGAGCGCTGGTGAAGCCCGTCTTCAGCTCCGACACCATGCATTGTAACTGAAGGCAGGCACAACGAACCGTTAGAAGGTGAGTTCAGCTGAGAGGAGCATCAGTTATCTGTCGAAACTGTGTTTTTGTTTCACTCCGGAACATCAGCTGGGATTTATTTCCCATCTGCTGCCAATTTTGCAAATAATAAAAGGATTTAAAACGAACTGTCTCTTTAAAACAAACAGAACCAGGCTGGCTGATGAGGGACGGTGCAGAATACCTTGGAGATTTCATTGACAAGCTCTGCCTCCTGAGGCTTCATGACCTGTGCAGAGAGAGACACAAACAAGCCTGTTTGCAAACAGCGATTAATGTGCACAAACTGTGCAGCCCATCTGATCGCTCTGATTTTTTCCAGCAGTCACATAGGGAAGCTGAGAGACTGTGAAGAGAAGAACAGAGCGATGCCTTTGAGTCTGTACAGAGAAGACAACATGTTCTCCTCACACAGATTAGATACAGAAGTAGATCCTCATCTTCCACCTCAACAAATACACGATAAGAAATGAGCATTAATATAATAACTAAAGCAAATTTTGTCATCAGTGATCCTCCTTAAGTGTGTATTAAAGCCTCTATGTTCACAAGAGGAGTTTGAACAACATTTGTAACCTGATTTAAAGACTTTAGAGCCGTTTGTTTGTGGTACCTGCTCAGATGTTGCTCCTGCCAGCAGCCCCTCTGCTAAGGAAGTAGCAGCCAGCCAAAGAGCTCAGCCCTGCAGGGGAAACGGCTGCAGGAGCCAAGATCCCTCCTTATAAGTCTGCTGACAGAAGGACGGGCAAGGATCAGGGGAAAAAAGAAAATGCAATATGTAAAAGCTTTATGTTGTAAATTGCACAGTTAAACCAGATTACATCACTTTTATAGGGAATATTGTTAGCTTTGTAATGTTTATTTCATTTAAAGGAATCAAAATATGTGGAAATCACATTTTTATTACAGGCTGCAAGACTATGATTTACATTTTTGCCACTTAATAACACTGAATATTATTTCCAAACATAATGATATTGTCAATGACGCACAAATATTCAACAAATCAACCAAAAAAAACACAAGAAAATGACTGCTGAAGCAAACGATGCAAAAGAAACTCACCTCAGTTAAAGCTCTGCAATAACAACCCTCCAGACATTTGAAAAGGTGGAAAAGGTGCAGTAAATCCCTAAAATCCTTCCAGTTTCTCCTCCTCGGTGTCGTTTTGAGTCATGTGCAGGGACTGGAGGCTCGTGTTGAGCTGTGCGCTGCTCTGTGTGGACAGCAGATGTCCTGCATGACGCTCTGTGAGCAGCACTGTGAAGCCAGGCAGAGAGTGAAGCATGCAAATGCCTGAAAGGAAGCACGGCTTTGTTTGATTTCATTGATTCTGCAAGTTTTATTCTGTTTTCTGTCTTGCTTTGCACATAATATTGTGTCTCTCATACAGCACTATGGGCAAATCTGACTGTTTTAAAACAATCTTGATTTAATTTAATTTGATTTATAGGGTTATATACTGTAGCTGAGTGCTGCATTTGTGTAAATGTATGTTATTGTACTTTGATTTTATAACGTGTTCCTTTTATTGTCTTTTCTGTTGTTGTTGTTGTTGTTGTTGTTTACATAGCATCTAATTGTTTCTTCTAAAGTACTTTTTGCCAATATGGAAACGAAGCAAGCATTTCCAAAATTATTTTCTTATGAAGGGAAATATTAACGTAATGAAGTGTAAAAAAATTAAAATTAAAATAAAAATAAAAAATCATTAGCTGGTGTAGTCATAAAAATAGTAATATAAAATGAATAAAAACCAAAAGAAAGAAGCATTTTAGGGAAATTATAATAAATACAATACTATATCTTAGACTATACATATATATAAATGATTGTGATTTTCTGTGATAATTTAGATGAGCAAGAAAAATATAGGTAGCGCAATATAAATATGAATACTCAAAAAAATGTGCACATTTATATAGTAGTTTATGTACTGTTGGGTTTTATATTTGTTGAGTATACTTTTATACTGTTGTTTGAATTTGAAGCAGGCTTCTGCCGGTTATTTTACTCTACTGTTTTAAAGGTGTCCCAGATGATTAAATCGACCGTTTTTTATCGTCAAGCTCAAGAAAACAGATATTTATTTGTCATTTGTATAATATGTCGAAGTTTTAAGGACACTGGTAGAGGTTACCGCCTTAACTCCGCCCGCCTTGATATGGCTACTCTAAAAATCGAGCGCCTCCATGGCTGCGTTGTTTTGCAGGGGGCGTGGATAATGTCCGTGCTGGAATCTGATTGGCTGCTGGCGTCATGGACTTTTCAAATCGCCGCAGCTGCTGACGGAGCTGTCAAAACAGACGAGCCGAGCAGAGCCAAGCTGGTGAGAAATAACCACAAATACACACACATTCTGTTCATTTAGCCGCATACATGTACACGTGTAAGGCTTTTTCTTCTGTTCTGATAACATTTCGATAAATGTTTAGTTTAATTCTCCTCCTTTTTGCTTCGTTTTGACCTACGAACTGCTCAGCTAACGTTAGCTACATTCAGCAGCAGTCAGTAGCGTCACTTCTGCCATTAATATTTATGCTGTTTCAGATAAAAACGTTATTTTTTTATTGAAAATGTAATATATTTTGTAATATAGAAGAAACGACAAGACTATTACATGTTTAATTTATAGTTAGCAGGCTGGTGTGCAGCCTTTAGCTACTCCTTAGCTTAGTTAAAGGTCCACATCCATAATGGTGTTTTAGCTTCATAGTACAGAATCATGTTATTCTGTACAAGGAAACAGCACGTTTAATAATAAAATGTCGCCTGCATAATTTAATTAAGTCTTGTTTTTGACTTTTTGACTAATAAATGTAATCCCAGCTACTCTGAAAATAGATTAATCTGTTTGAGTTTTTTTTTTTTAAGGGGAAAAAAAATCTAAATTCTCAAAATTTAACCTCTTAAATGTGAATATTTTCTGGTTTCTATGACAACAAAGAGAATATCTTTGGATTGTGGACAAAAAAGGACATTTGTCATCTTGAACTTTAGGAAACAGATTGACATTTATCAACATTTTCTAACAACTAATTGATTAATTAAGAAAATAAATGTAAGCAGCAGCCCTCACCTGCACCAGATATGATGTTTTAATTTCAATAATTGCCCCATTTGTACATAATGAGTATGAAATGCGAGACATGCTGCTCTCTGCAAAGTAAGGCCATCCCACTTTCTTTCTATACTTAGCCCATGTTCCACATTAGTACCACCACAGTGAGTGCAGGCTCACCAGACCAGTGGTTCTTCAGCTGTGGGCCTTGAAATAAGTCTTAGTTATGATGATATTACAGCTAAAATCAAATGTATGGGCAAGATGCAAGTTTTAGCTACCAGCTGGACTGACATTGTTATATTTTATAGATTAATAATCATCTGGGTGGTCGATCTTTTAAATAAAACAGGAGAAGACATGCTGGTGAGGTGAAAAAGTTCACCCATAAAGTCAGAACACAGTAAACTAATATCAATGTCAAATAATTAACAGCTCAGATCTGTTGTCTGTGTTGCTGACAGATAAAAAAAGAAAATTCTGTCCATGTTTAGCCTAATGAGAAGTTATCTAACTAAAGAGAAGATAACTCGCCGGCCCCTTGTCGCCTTCATCCTTTTACTTTCTGAAAAAGCCTCTTATACCTGAAGCCTTTCATTCTTGGCTTAGTAAATTAGTTAACTGGCTAACAGCAGCACAACACCAGCGATGACGAACCATGTAAACGTTGTGTTCTCTGCTGCTTACGTAACACACAGGAGCTAGAATGTAGTTATCAGTGTCATCTTATTTTGAAGGATTCAATACATGATTGGAATGACAGGAATAGATTTGTGCTGTTTATAGACAGTCAGGCCGAACAACATCACTGGCCTGCACAATATCCATAAAACTTGTTTTTGATTTTGTTGTCCAGGTTTTATTTTATATTTATATTTTACTATATATTGTAAAGTAAACATCAGTACCTCTATAGTAATAGAAACTGGTAGGATGTGTAGCAGGTCAGTTACACTGTGTTTGAATATAATTTACCATTTATTTATATTTAAGTATAGCACTTTAAATAAT